AAAGCTTTTGGCAGAATATTATATATTATATCCAAAGAAGTTTGGTTTATTTACCTGGGTTTTTCATGATTCTATTACAAAGGGATTTCTTATTCTAACAAAAGTATCAATTGTATAAATATTATTATTTATTAAACCTAGGCTACAATATTTTATTAAAAAAAGAAAACTATAAATCAATAATATCAAATTAAAGAAAAGTGTTTAATTCAATAATTATACTTATATAATAATCTTCAATAATTATAGTTTTGATAATGGATAATAGATAAAACAAAAGAATTAGAATATATAATAATAATAGTTTAATAGAATTTGTTATAGAAAACAAAGGACTTTATATTATTTATTACATTATACATTTGTTTGAAAACAAACAAGGTTTGAAAAGAAAGGGTATTGTCATAGATTCATTATCTATTCCTAACTAGCTTAGATAAATACCTTAGGCATTCATCTACTATATAGTTATTGTCGCTCTATGTGCCTCCTTCTCTCCTCGTCGAATATTATACATCATACCTAGTACCCACCAGAACCCGTATCAGCCTCGTGATAAGTATTATATTTTGAATCCCGAGAAGCCTAGATCCTTTATTTAAATCTTTTAAGATTTTATTACAAAGAAGCTTTTTGTTTTAATAAAAGTATTAATTATACAAACCCTGCTATCTACTAAACCCGGATTATTTTATTTTTTTAAAGAAAAAAAACTACAAATTAATAATACAAACCTAAAGAAAAATATTCGATTTAATGATTATACTTATATAATAACCTTCAATAACTATGGTTTTGATAATAAATAATAAATAAATAGAAGAATTGATGAATAAAATATATAATTGGAATAATTTAATAGAATTTATAGGAATTTGTTATAAAAAACAAAGATTTTATATTGTTCTCTATATTATATATTTATTTGAGAATAAACAAGATTTGAAAAAAGAAAATATTATTATAGGTTTATTAAATATAACTATTTATATTTATTTGTATCTATCTACATCTATCTGCACTTGTTATATACACACTATCCATTCTTAATTAATTCGAATAAATGCTTTAGGTATTTATTTACTATATAGTCAATATTGTTCTATATGCCTCCTTCTCTCCTTATCGAATATTATACATCTTATCTAGTCCCCACCAGTACTCGTATCAGCCCCGTGATAATAAATATATAAGCTCTATATAGATACTCTATAAAATTATCTATATTATACGCTATATACTATAAAAGTTCGCGCAATAAAATTATCTATTCAATATAAGTAAAAAAAACAGAGATATATATACTCAAATTATTTATTAAACTATAACTATATAATCTTTATACTACTTAGTACGAGTAGATATCTTATACTACTAGTACTAGTATATTAGATATATATTATACTCGAGTATACTAATTTAATTAGTTAATCGAGAAGATATATATACATCTATACATTTATACATTTATATATTTATATATTCTATGTATCTATATCTATATTCATATATCTATAACTAACTATATTTGCAAACAGAGTATTCGCATTTATTTTTCACGTATCTATATCTATATCTATATCCATACATCTATATCTATAACTGCAAATAGGGTATCCGCATTCAATTTCCACTTACTTGTGCTTGTTCTTGTACTAGTGCTAGAGCCACTACCAAGTATACTCAATAACATATACATATACAATTGCACCTCTTCCTTCCACTCTTTCTCTCCCTTCCCACCCCTTCCCCTCCTCCCCTCAATAACAACTCCACTCTACCCACCCCACCCCATCCCATTCCATCCCATCCAAATACAACGCAAGCAATGCATCCCTTCCTTCGAGTCTCCATCCATCCATCCATTCATCTAAATATGACCAACCCCATTTTGTAAAATACCATATATTCACGCTGATATTTGCCCATTGTTTTTGATTTCCATACTTCAAGTCCAAAGAACTCCTCCCAAATCCATATACATTCAATGCGATAGCTACCAACTCCACGCTCAAGACTTCCAATTCAGAATGCTCAATGAGGTAGCAACGGCCATAGCCATGCCCACCCAAATATAAACGTAATCACAAAAGATCCCCGCCAAATCATCCTCAGACAATTGTAAAGTTCGCATTGTTACCGTTTCCTCTGTTTCTTCGCAGCCTCACTCCTAGTTTGTCTCTCTTCCTCAACTGCCGGTGGTAGAATCGGTGCCCCCTTTTTAGCCTGCTTGCGATTCCGTGGTTGATCAGAATGCAAATGACCCAATTCGTTGATCGCCGTATTATTCCGCCAAGATAAGCATCGATGAGCTGTATGATCCACATGAGGTTGTTGTTTTCCACGAGTCGACATTCGTTTATGACTGGAATCAACACTCTTTTCGTCGCTGGGGTTGAGGTATTCCTTGCGCTTTTCCATATGAGTAGTGATTTTGTCCTTGTAGAGTTGGAGTTCTTTTCGAAGCTTCAATTCATTATTACCACGGGCATCGAGCCAGTTGATTAAACCCTCAACTGATTCAGGCTCATCAAAATAACCCCATTGATGAGCATTGAATACGTGGGTATTTCCTTCTTCCATAACCTTTCTTTCTGGTACGGTCATGTTGAACTTAAATCGATATTCATCTTGCCACTCCGGTCGCATTTCAATATAACCTTCACGCTCAAGGTCGTCTGGTCCTTGGACCCATATGCAGCCATTGGCATATTCAGCATCAGCCGTAGAGCTACTAGGAAGACCACCATATGGCATACCATTGCGCTCAAACCAATAATAACGATTCCAGAATCGATCCTTACCAAGTACACGCGTACGAGGGCAATCAGCTTCTCGAAGATCATTATCGAGAATGGCAATTTCCTCCTCACACTCCTTGATCTTGTCTTGCAATTTTTGAATGTCTTTAAGAACCTTTGTGAGTGCCTTCGACTGCTTGGGGAATTTAGGTTCGGCCTCTGCTTTTGCTTTCTTCTCCTGTTCAGCTTCACGTTTGCGCTTTCGCTCTGCTGCTCGATCAAGTCCACGACGTAATGATCGGGTTGGAGGGGCATCTTCATCCGAGTCCATAATTTCGTCGCCATGAGAGTCCTGGACCTCTTCCTCGACGTCGTGCATAGTCACATCTCCATTGACACTAGCTGAAGCTTCTTTTTCTGCAACCTTCTCCGCAGCCGGTGCTGAACTTGGCTCAGGTGGTGGTTCAAGTGCTTTGCGAGTTTCGTTAAGTTTCTTGACAGCATCGTGACTAATCTGATTAGTACTAGTTCAACAAGACAAGATTGAGCTACTTACGCATCCTTTTTGGTACGCTGAAACTGGATCTTTTCCTTTCGAAGCATCGTCATGTGCTCACTACTCTCTTCCATGTAACCACGAATTGCTTTTGTTTCCGCTGTAAGCATGCAAATAATTTGGAGAATTTTGATGCGAAGGTTGACGTCAAGTTTCGCATACTGTAGATGGGCAGTTTCCTGGGTTGGCTCCATGTCGAGAGGGGCGAGTTGAACAAGGAGTGCTTCACAATGGGCAAAATACCTCTCGTCTTTCGAAAGTTGATGTAGTAGGCCTACCATGATAGCTTCCCAGCCACCATTCTTGAAGTCACGCTTTCTTAATTTCTCAATCCATTCGATGCTATCTTCCATCTCGGCAGCGCGATGAGTACATGTCGGTCCGGCTGGTTCCTCAAGAGGCTGTTCAGCTGCCTTTTGCAAAGCTTCCGCCTCGGCTTTTGCCAGACTACTTCTAGTGGCGCGTCCTTTAGGTTGTGGCTCTGGCTCTGGTGTAAGTGTTGGCATGACGCTAACCTCAATGATAGAGTCTTCTTCGTCATCTGATTCTTCCATTTCCGGCAGCTGAACTTGAAGCTTTCCATCATCGGCTTCCGAATTTACCAGAATTTTCAGAACAGCGCAATGAATCTCAACGAATAACTCGCAATCTACATCTTCAGATGTAAATTGTAACGCTTCGACGAAATCGTCAAAAGTAAATGAATCCAACTTGAAGATCTGACAATAGACATTCAAAGTGTCCCATGTCTCCAGCAATTGACCAATAGATGACATGTGAATGCCATTACCCTCGACGTTTGGTCTTCTTAAGACCATTGGGTTATCTTGCGAAAAATATTTGATGTCGGGTCGTTTCGGTCCATCAACTCTGGGAGCCACTTCCAAATCCTCAATTGGGTATTTGATAGGGGGTAGTGGAGGAGGAGCCGGCGGAAGGGATGCAAGAGGCGCAAATGCAAAGGAAGAGTTGTGAAAGTTTTGGAAGTGAGGTCCCACTTGTTGTGGTGGCCCATTGGCTTGAAAGGTGTGAGAAATGAAGGGAGGAGCTTGAGGATAAGGAATAAATGGGTTTTGAGGAGAAGGTTGAAATTGGGGATGGGGATAGGGAGGGGGAGGGAAATGTGTAGGAATAAAATTCATAGGAGCAGGGTCTAAAGATGGCTGCTGCTTACTTCTTGCCAGTTGAGTCTGTTGCTGCTTGCTCTTATGGCTCTTGGGTGCTGGCTTCAACTCCGGGAGTCTAGCTTGTGGACCATTTCCTCCATGGAAGCTACCAACCATACCATCAAAATCGCTTCCTCCAGTCTTCTTTTGAGATTGATTTTGTTTTCTTTCCGCAGCTTTACTCTCATATCTTAAATGTGGCGGAACTTTAGATTCGATGCCATAAATGGCGGCCACATCGTTCTTCACCAACCAAGGCGCACCGGTCCATGCTTCTCTGGTAACAGTTTTCTTGATAAAAGATCGCAGAACTTGCTTTGTGAATATCTTCCGGTCACGGGTAATATGATTGTCGTCCACCACCGCTTCTTCGTGTGGTCGACCATCCAGACTAACAAAGTACCTCGAGAAGGGTGGGCTTAGTGAGCCATCCGGCAGAACTTTGCTTACGAAGTGCGTCTTTTCTCTGACAGTACCAGTGAGTCGGTCGCCTGTGACTACATGAACCGTGACAACCTCGCCGGGATAGTAATCGGATCTGAACTCGTCGTAAATAAGGTCCACGAGGGTATCGATTCGAGAAATGGTTTGAAATTGTACACGTCTAAGAATTGGCATCTTCAACGAGTTGGGGAATGCCTCTTCGACTTCTTGCGCGCCTGCCAACTATATAATAGGTTAGCCTCCCCCCTCATTAGCCCAATGCGATTTTTAGATTTTCCATACCTCACTCTTGAGTGCCTCAAAAAATGACAAACCAGAATGACCTGAGATTTGGCAAATGAATCGACGCTAGAAATTGTTATTAAATATCACAAGCTAGCTGTTGTCGAAGTTTCGAACCTGTTTATAGAAATCCATCCTGTTCCCGTTAGCGCATCCTACTAGGGATCAACAGTGAGGGGGCAAGAAAGTAAAACTCACCGAGCCAAGTATTGCTCATAATCCAAAAAATACTCGCCAGTAGCGGGAATCAACCAGACCTATGACTGTTGTTAGTGAATGTGGCATTGTGGTAGACCTTTGGGTAAATTAAGTTCATACCTCTGTATTTTCATTCTCAATATCCGGCGTTGATACATATTGTACCGGCTTTCTCTTGAAGAGAACCTAAAGAGTTTAGCTATATTTAAAAGTCAAGAGAGACTGAAAGAAGTAGCTCACCATTGTGAGAGTTAGTTGTTGTCAAATATCCTTGACCCGGAAGATCCTAGAGGGAGAGAGAATGTTGTTAGTTTGTGATATACCCCTCCATAGAGCTAGCAATATGCTTTGCGCCAGAGTTATGTGAGGGTGGAAATCCCCAAAAAGATGGTGGTGAATTAATCTGAAAGTGATTTGAAGTGGAGTGTTGTAGGAAGGCTAGTTGTGATTACCCCTTCCCTTCCACAGCTTGGGTTGTATCTTGTGGAAGTATATCAACTCTAAACTTACAGATATAGCTCTCGACGCGTCCAGGAGCCTCGGTACTTGTTGAAGAAAGCGTACAAATTTGTAGAATCGATGTGGTAAGTTGTTGGTTGATGAAATTTGTTGATTGTTACGCGTTGTAAGAGTTGACAAGAGGAGGAAGAAGAAGTGGATTGAAAAGAAGAACGAACATAAGAAAAGGGTCGGGAGGATATGTTAGCGTGGAGAGGTTGTTTGACAAGGATGCGGGCTAGTGAAAACGGAGACCGATTCGAGAACCTGCGACCCATAATCGTATACATTTCTATCAAGTCATATAACAACTACAAAATTCATAAATTAGACAACTTTCTTATGCTCAATGTGTAGCCAGAGATGAGCTCTACAATATGAATGTAAGTTTGTAAATTCATCTTTTGATTTGAACAAATAACCCTGAATATATAAATTTCCAAAAATCTCTCCAACTGATAGCCGCATATTACGAATATCTCCTCGAATTTAGGCCCAGGTGCTAAGGACTCAAGAAGTGTTTAAATGTGCTCGGATGTATTTAATCTTCTTTGTCATAGATCCCCTATAAGTCCTTTGAGATGACATTAACTTATTAGAGCTGTATTGATGTGTTGTCTGGTGAGTAGTAGTTTGTTGACGTTGTCTGTAGGCTTCTCTTGAGATTCAGGGGTGATTAAGTGAAGGACCAAATTATCCTTTGACATAATAAATCATTCTCCGGAGTAATTGTTCGGAGTGATGGTGTCGTTGCTGACAATGCTTTGAAAATCCATCATAACTGATGGATTCACATTATAGTCTTACAACACAAAACTTTTGCAGAAGGGAATTCCGGGCGGATGCGATTGTTGGCACATGACTAAAGGGGCTTAGCCTGCCCGCTAAGCCAGGCGATTCCTTTTGAGCAACCCAACCTCAACTCCCGAGCTTTGTCCTGTGAGGGCCCTACCAAAGCCCTGAGAACTCAAGGTTGGTTAATTTATCATCTTATCAACAAGATGGGACGAAAACAATTGAACTTTACGATTATTTCTTGTTAAAATAGGAATAACTCACGATTTATATAAAAAGGGGGGTCAATACCCCTGCAGATTGCTATTTGGGACGTCTATGTTGATGTTATGCGTACCCTCCCTCTCCCAGAGGAAAGTTATCTCAACTCCCCGCTTTCTCCTCTCTTGGACGAGGTCATCATACATGGATTCGACAACGTTACAAAAAATCAGCCAATACAATAAATACAATAGTTAATTTCTTCGTTAGAAGACAGTTTGCGAATCTTTTTGGCGTCGCTGCCTCCTTGACCACGGTTCAGATTCCCCACCTCCCTCCCCGATGCTTTTTGGTACAAACTTCAGACCCCACCTGCACTCAGACCGCCACAATCACCACCTTGAAATCCAATACAGGTATTCTGATCGCCACCCAGTTGCTCATAGTAGTGAACTGATCATCTAAGTTCCAGCCTAAGGTGAGTCCGGATACTTCGGTGAATAGATAACCCACATATGCCTGCCTCTTCGCTGAAACTCCAGATATCAGTCCAAAATAATCCATGGAAGATTATCCTTTCTTCTCTAATCATCTTCCGGCTTAAATTCTACATAATCAATGCATGTACTTGAAACAGTCTTATAAAATGAATCTCAGCCCCCCCTCCCCCCCTAATATTCGGTTGTGCAGTTGTTGAAGATGGTGTCATCCTAAAAAGCTTGCGCGCCATCAATGAAATCTTGAACTACTACACGATTCCTAAGAAGCAAAATGGGTATCATTGACTAATCCTTAACTTTCAAAATATACTATCAAAAACCCTATCCAGCTTCCCATAACTCCAATTGCTGAATATGAGCTCGTGAACATCAACGGCAAAAACTCTAGCTTATTTCCAAAGAAGACTTGATGTAGCAGTGAGCAATAGAGTATCAAAGGTATGCTAACTGCGATGTAGAGTGTGCTAAACCGATCAAGCAAGAATATTCTCGATTTTGACGCCGGTGCCAAACGGTCAAAAGCCAGAAGGAACAAAACAAGCCAGAAAATGGTGTACACGATTTTAATAGGGAATTCCGCAGCCGTGAAAAGCAAAGGGAACAAGGAGACATGACCAGCCACAGCCAATGGTCGAAATGCCCCCAGGAATCGACGATCTTTCAGGGCAATCAGGCTGAATGGTATAATGACCAGAAGAATTGCCTTTTCGTGGACGTGCCAGCTGAAAAGAAATGAGGAATAAGCACAAAGTGTTACACTCCCAATGAAGTTGTCCCACGTAGGGCTCTGGTAGAGTTTGGACAGTGGAATGAAATCGAAGATGGCTGTCAAAGCGAAAGTCATTCCTTTGGTGATTTCGGGCAACACGGCAAATGACGTATTTCCAACGAGACCACGGGTCACACTATTGACAGCCGCTGTATCAACAGCGAGGCCTAATCTAGGAGCGACTGTACACCTGTTAGTCACGAAATTGAGGGTACATAATATCTAGAGTCCGAGTAGCCTCAAGATCTCATTTGGACGAAGAAAGACTTACCGAAAATCAACACTCGATCGGTGAAGGAATACATAGCCCAAACATTTGGAGCCCAGTAGGCATGACAAAGACCCCTCCCGAATGGAAAAAGTCTACCGATAATCTGAGGCATTTGGTCAAAATATACAAACGGCCCAAATGCAGCTCCAAATACTGCCGCCACACCAACTCCTAACTTGATAGCATTCCCAAACCTGATATCAAACGGACGCTTGGGTCCAAACTTGGGCCCAAGACAGTATCCTGATAACAAAAAGACAAAATACGCTGGCGCAAGATAAAGATATATGTGCTTGAGGCAAAGCAATATTGCGAACAGTATACCACTTCCTAGCCTGGTTCCCTCATTTCTAGCCATGACTAAGGATAATATGAGGAGACCATACATGAAGCCATTATATTGGAAGTGTATATGATCGATGATTAATAAACCGGGCGAAAGTAGAATCGAAAGAGCCGCTGCTTGTGAAGGACGTTTTAAATTGGCGGGAGCAGTCTTCACGAAACTTGATGATGTCAATACAGTTACAAACTAACCAGAGGTTCACCAGCACTTACAGATGAAGCGCATATACCAGAACCAGCTCCGTAGCAATAACACTTGCGCGTTGGAAGTAAATGGTCTGCCAACTCTCATATTCCAAATTCTTTACCCCCAACATCAATGGATCAATCCATTCCGCAAACTTGGAGAGGAACAATTCGAAATATGCGAAAAAGGGCGGATAATCGAGAGTCCATTCTGAAGTCTTCTCAATATACCATTCATTCAGAGGTAAACCATTCGTAATCGCCAACCAATTTCTATGAACCTCGAAGTCTGTAGATTTGCTATATTTTCAATCAGCATCGTAGTTCCAATTGAACGCCTGAAGTTTGTTTGTTTGTTAGGGGGGAGGGGGAGGGGTGGGAGGGTAGAGAGAACTGACTAGGCGGGAAACAACAATATCTTAAATGCTGTAGCTACAACTGCACATTGTGCAATTGAAGGATAGATTTCTGCCATCTAGGCATACCCAGTATGAAAGTGGGAATGTTTTGGAATTGTCTTTTGTGGAAATTGGTTGTCAAATCTAATCGATGATGAGTTGAATTGTGGTATTCATAAATTTAAAAGTCCATACGGAATTTATAAACACCGACAACTTTTTATTTGGATTTCTTTCAATGATGATAAGCCAAGCGAAAGCTCTCAAGACACAAACCCATTAAAACAGCCTACCAACAAGGATAATAGATATACCAGAAACACCAGAAACACCAGAAACAACCTCTAGAAAGCTTCCAATCCGTAAAAAAAACCTTCCTCCTCCCTCTCTCCCCGCAACATGGATCCAGCATTTGTACCTTCAGAAATAGCTATACGACATCTCGTCAATCATAAATTCACCATAGAAATTGGTCCTTCAATTCTCTCATTGGGAAAACCCATTCGAAATCTTATTATCACTCTTGTGGGAATCTATTGTGTAACCAATATAGTTCAAGGCACATTGCAATCTGTCTTTAGGCTCGAACGAAACCGAAAGGAGGATTAGTTGGTGGCATCCCGTTACCGCACTGCACTCAAAACTCTCGCCTCTCGCCGAGCGTAGCAGTAAGAAAGTGGCCTGGGGTTATCGATTGAGTAAAGCTGCCAAGTGTCTACAACATAAACACAACCACTTGTACAGTAGGATTTATTTTTAATTCATATTGTCTGTCCTCTTCATGATTAATTGAATCCTCCTCCAGGAATTGAGGGTAGAAAAAATAAGGGACGCTGGCAGTTCTTATTCTTACTTTTGGTTGTTACAGTACTGTAGAAAGAATAAGGATTAGGGGAAAGTCTCGAGTTTAAAGCACAATGTATTTCTTCAAAGCATCCCTTGCATCGACCGCAGCATTCTTTGCATATACCCAAGCTACCTATCTTAACAATGATTTGAGTTTTGGTCATGATGGGAAGTAAATACATCTCGAACCTCGATCACCATTCAAAGATACTGACAATGATAGGATCTCACCTAATGGTCGCGCGGTTCCCAATTTTCATATGATAGGACAACCAAACTATCCAGATATCCTCAGTAATCGAATCGTTCTCACGCCCCCTGCACTAGGAAATCAAAAAGGAGCTGTATGGTCGGAAAAGAAATTACAATATTCGCAATGGGCAGCAGATATCGAATTTCGTGCTACTGGTCCAGAGAGAGCAGGTGGTAATCTGAATATATGGTATGCTAAGAATGAGGATATTAGGGTATCAAGCATATACACGGTTGGAAAGTTTGATGGACTTGCTTTGGTAGTTGACCAGTATGCTGGATCTGTAAGTTATACTCACCGCGATCTATCCTGCACATAATACTAACAGCTATTAGGGTGGTTATATTCGTGGATTCCTCAACGATGGTACAACCGAATACTCCTCCCATCATTCTGTCGATTCCCTTGCCTTTGGTCACTGCCCCTATTCCTACCGCAACCGAGGCATCCCATCTAAAATCCATATCCGTCAAACCGCCGATAACTTCAAAGTCGAAGTCGATGGCACCCTATGCTTCCAATCTGATAAGATCAAGCTACCCCTAGGCTACGTCTTTGGAATTACTGCCGCCTCTACAGAGAATCCAGATTCTTTCGAGATCTTCAAATTTGTCGTAACGACCGATAACCATACTCCTGATGATCAAGTTCAAAAATCTGCAAACCAGAATCAACAACAATTCCAAGCTGCCAATCCTCCTCAGCAGCAAAACCAACAGCAAAATCAGGGACAACAACAAAACCTCGAAACTCCCGGTGAGACCCCAGCCACCGACTACAAATCTTCAGATGCCCAATTCGCAGATCTCCACAACCGTCTCCAATCAATGATGAAACACATCACAGCTTTGAACCGCGATCTCTCTCAATACCAAGCCAACTCTCTCTCCCGAATTGAAACGCTCAATGGAAACATTAATTCCCTCTCCAGCACGATCTCGCGTCTCGAATCCTCCCTCTCAAAATTAGATTCCATCCCAGCCCTAGAGAGAAACCTAAGAGATGTAGCAAATGACGTCAAGAGTACCAAAAGCGAATTACACGAGGCGCTAGATAGACATGTTTTAAGTCTGAAGCAAAGAGTGGCAGAAACTCATGGAAGCGTTTTAGGTACGGTTGGGGAAGGATTAAGATCTCATAAATCGGGTATTGGATATGCGGGATTGGCGTTGGTGGTTGTTGGAAGTCAATTTGGTTTGATTGTAGCGTATGTATTGTATAAGAAGAGGAAGAATGGGGGAAATAAGAAGTTTTTGTAGGATTTGTGAGTGAAAGAAAGAAAGAACGAGGGGGTGGGATGGGATTGTATATTTATATGGGATGGGATGGGATAAGGCGAGGTGAGGCGAGATGAGGCGAGATGAGATGAGGTGGTACGGATTGGGCTAAGATCCAATAATGAGGGCTTATTTGATTATTGGAAATACTGAATACAATGAATGAATAAATACAGAGAAAACAGGGTGTTGAATCTGCTACAAAACAGGGGAATAGTGGTATAGCAAAATGAAAATGAAATAATCCATTGTCTATTATCATTATAATCATTATCATCATCATCATCATCATCATCAACAACATCATCAATATAAACATCAGCATGTTTCTACGTTTTTACCCATTACTTCATTTGTTTCACTCTATTCGAGTATCTCTACTGCATTTCACTCTATTTCACTGTATATACTCGAGTATATCATATATCATATATCCTCATTTCTTCTCATGTACTCATGTACTCATATATAGAGCCCCATTCATCTTTATTGTATATCTTGTTGTATATCTTGTTGTATATCTTGTGTTCTTATTGTATGAGTATTATAGTATGTCTATTTGAGTATGTCTACTCGAGTATATATCTATATCTATATATCTACATCTAGTGATTCCTTACTCCCCTACTCCTCTATTCCTTTATATTTTTAGGGTGGTTATATTAATTATACAAATTTAGCCATTTTATCCAATCCAGCTCTTTTCAATCTAATCCTATCCAGCTCATCCATTCCAACTATACCAATCCAGTCCAACTGATCTGATTCATCCCCTCATCTCATTCCATCCCACCTCATTCAACCTCATCCCAGCTCACCTCATCCCCTCCATCTCATTCCATCCCACCACAAATATCCATCTCAAACTTAAATACTCCTCTTCAATACTTTACTTGTGTAATATGAGTATGAGTATGAGTATTCGTACTTGTATAATCTCTAATCTGGTTTACCTCATTTATATTATATCGTAGGAAAAGAAAGTTAGAAAGAATAAAACTAGAATTAAGATTTCAGAGATTAAAAGATTTATATATTATCTATATTATTAATTAAGAGGTACATTGAATATAGCCAGTTTTGTAATATATATAATATATATACAGGGTACAGCTAGTGGCTACTAGCCTAGTATATATATATATATATAGCTTTTTCGAAAGCTTCTTCTCTTAATATTCTTTAAGTTAATTAACAAATATTAAACTCACTATATGATATCCAGTTTATATAATTCATTATTCAACTTTATTTGACCTATAATTCAACAATTAATATAAATATTAATAAGAATTAGATAAGATATATAATATTCAATAAAAAAAGAAGAAGATATCTAGAGCAATATTGATTATATAATAAATAGATATTTAAGATATCTATTCGAGTTAATTAAGAATAGGTAATATATATATAACAGGTACAAATAGATATAGATAGGTACAGATAGGTACAGGTAGTCACGTGTGGGGAACCTGTGACAGATCTCAATCATAGCCCCGAATTCTCCTTCTTACCCAACCAAAACCCTCACCCCCCTCCCACTATTCGCCGGCAAAAAATAATCACTCGTACACTCCACATCGCCCAAATCCGTATCATGCAACACCAAGTCCAAACCCCCAGCAATCCCCTTAACACATAGATATAATTCCGCCCAAGCTAGATTTATCCCCAAGCATTGACGCGATCCCTTACTGAAACTTACGACGTATTTGCATAGAGATGGGTTTTCGAGAAAGCGGGCCGGGGAGAATGTTGTTGGGGAGGAGAAGATACGAGGGTCGAGATGTTGAAGGAAGGATGACATTGATACTGGGGTCTGTGGGGATGTTAGAGGATTTGGTAGATTTGGTGAGCGAGGGGGCAAGGGAAGAAGGGGGGAAACATACACCAGGGGGAATTTCCCAATCTTTATATCTCAATACCTGATCGGGAGATACTCTCTGCAAGTGAGCCACAACTCCAAAACTCAATCGCAATCCTTCCTGTATCACAGCCGTCAAATAGGGTAACTGCTCTAATTCCTTCAATCCACTTTTCCCCTCCATTTCAGCAAGAAGTTTCGACAGAATATCAGGGTTAGCGAGAACATAGTAGGTAATCACGGATAAAGTCCAAGCTGTAGTTTCGGTACCGGCTCCTATGATTGTTTGTCCTTCTTGCCAGAGACGATCTAAAGATTTCTCAAATGGTGGTAGATCGCTCGAGAGTATTTCATGGAAGATTGTTGGATGGGAGGAGCGTTCGTAATCGGTATTCTTCCCACTGATGATAGCACCAACTTGAGCTTGCATGTTCTAGATCCTATGTTAATACTGTTCAACATCAAACCAACAACAAGCAAGTACTACACTCACCATTTGCAACTCCACAGTACTAACATATTTCTGATCGAGTAGTTTTACAGCCCACATCGGCATATTCTGCAGCGCCCGAAAGATCCAGGGGAAAACTTTGAGAATATGTGATATCTTGCTAATATTCACAATTGCCTCATGGAAATCCGTGTAAAAATCCTCGGAATTCACGACATAATTATGTGATTTCCCCAACGCATATTCCGAAATAACATCATTGGTAAAACACGAAAAGGCCCACGAGAGGTTGACTGGCTTCTTGGTATCCCGATATGAATCGAGACGCAAGGCAAGTGAATCCACATGTTTTTGGATCAGAGGTTCGAGGCGAATAACACTGGCTTTGGAAAAGTAGCGGTTCATAGCTCCTCGGCGGAGACGGTGATGGTCATGAGAGACAGTCCCAATCATTGATTCAGAATTACCGAATTGTTGGGTATAGTAAAGATATTTATCGCGTTTCTTTCCCCGGGCGACGTACAATTCGTCGTAATAGTCCGGATCATTAACATGAAGCTCCCATGGATTGATGCGTATAATTGGTCCTAGTTAAGGGAGTCAACACTGTGTGTGGGATAAATAGAGAGAGAAGACTTACCATATTCCTCGTGGAGCTTTCGAATCTTGAAGGTGTATTGTCCTCCCAAGATGATTTCATGATATATTTCATATAATATGGAGACAGCAGCCAATTTAGGTCCGGGGAATTTAGCAATTGGACTGAAATAGAGACGCCATATTATCCCATATATAATGTAGGAGGATATAACGACAACGACTGGAACTAGTATTGAATACATTCTATTCGAGAATTACTCACTCGAGTATGTATGAACGCAGAGCTGTATTGTATGAAAGAGATGACGATGTAATAAGGAGATGGAGAACTGACAATCGGTTTCCAATTTGTTTCCACCGAGAAAGCGGAGGGGCTCCAGGGCCAAGATAAACTCACATAACTACAACATACATCCAATACGATTGGATGCTAATTGGTCAATTTTGATTGCTTTCTGCATGTGCGAGGAATAACGGAACGGCACTTATGGAATGACAAAGCTCTGCATGAGATTCCATTGGTCGACTTAGCCGGCTTCACGGGTGCTTGTCAACAGGGAGGTTAGATGACGACCAACCATTCGTCGAAAAGGGTTGTCAGATTTTAGTCAATAACCCCGGATAAAAGCCCCTGGCGGAAAGTAACCTTTGAGGCATCTAAATTCCACCGTGGTGAGGTAGGTCACACACTTGTGTAGCCTATGCATATCATAGGCATGTGCAGCCAGCTCATGGCCGATTATGGGACGTTACCATTGATTGTGGAACTATATGATCTACTAGGTAGTTCGTCAAGTAAAGGTAGACATCTCAGTCCTAGACGATCACAATTTAGACCTAAATCGCTTGAGAAAGTCAAATCTAACCTTTCTACAACCTCGAAAGACCCTTAAGTTCTCGAGATAATGCTCATAAGGTATCTCTCTATGCTAAATATAAAGATTCAAGCAACGTACCAACCATATCCTATGCAATGCACCTTGTCCCATGCAGTGAACCGTATCCCATGCAATGCAATGCAATACCGGCGTCTTCCTAAACCAGGACGTTTATATAGAGCCCCAGCCTAACGAATTCCTACGCGTATCTAATCCAGATACACAGTACAATGATTCTTGTCCGCACTAAGCGATCATATACAAAATCAATAAGCCTTCTTAGGCAAGTACTTGATCCCTCTCCTAGGACAAGTACCTCTCCCACCTTTTCCCGCCGGAGCGGTAGCCACAAACTCTCCCAACTGCAAACTCCCCTTGACATTGAAACTATACCATGCCTGATTCAACCTCCCATACGAACAACCCAACACAACCTCGCTACCCGTAACCGCTGTTAACGCACTTTGTATCTGACGCTCCGTATAAGTAGCCGTATAACTTGGCACAATCCCCGCCTTCTCAAGCGCTGTATAAGTATCCAATTCTTTGAATAATTTCACCGTTCTGGTAAAGAAATCTACAACTTCATCACCGGCTTCATATCCATCGCCATAGCAAGATGGCGCGAGGGTGTTCACACAAGTTCCGTGTTTGTTCATCTCATGTTCCCAAAAGGTTTCAGCGGAACCTCGGTTGGGGAGCCAATATTCGTGCATGTAGGAGAGGAGATCGGTCTGGGAAGCGGCGGTGAGGATCGAGGTTATATTGTGGTATCGTGGGGTTTCATGACAATAGGTTGGATATGAACCATCGCATAGATCAGGCCTGATATATTTAGTTAGGTTTAGATTGTGTGGGTGCTAATGACTGATGAACGAACCAAAGACCATGGAGGGTCCAACTGTCAACAGGACCTATTGCAGGGCTGTAATCCCAAAACTGCGTCTGGAGAAGCTGCCCACCGGGATAGATGAAGCAGCAGGAATCTGGGGCAGTGGTGCTGTTGTGGCAGGAGAGAGGAGAGTTCGATGGACAAGAAGGCGCATTGCCAAAGGGTATGTAGGGTCTAGGAGTCGTACCAGCTGACGAAGATGATGATAGATTGTTGATTATTGGTATCTGGGATAGGAGACCGCCTGCGAAGGAGACGAATCTACGAATAGACGAGACGGACGAGGTTGTGTTGGTTGCCATGATGGTGCTTTAAGTTGATGGATAGTCTAAATTACTTATCTGGTGGTGCCTTACGATAAGTTGATGAGGAATAGGAATGCAATTCAATTTAATCTATGTAGTGATTATGATCAATATATAAGCATGCGGCGATTCCTTTGAGCTTCCCAGGAGCTCAGATAACGCACAGGTGAGCTACATAAAGTAAACTAAAGGTACTGATAAGCTTTAAGGTTTAGGGCATGTGATAATATTATTCGCTGTAAGCCCCTGTATGTAGCGCATGTGCCCCTGATCATCAATTCAATCATCAAAACTTATGGATTTTGCCGAGGTTTCCCATTTCGATTTATATATTTATATTTTACACATAAATATAGCACAATTCCCCATTCAGACCACCAAGTGTGCTCATCAAATCCTTCAACGGCACAGGACCTGCATTATATCCAACATCCTGTAGATCTTCCAACGTAGTATTTCTACCGGGAGGACTGTTGTTCATGGTAATCGTTCCTGAGATGGCATTTTGTCGTTTAGCCAAATCCTGCATTTGCCATATCCACCAAACTCTATCTATCATCCCATGATGAAGGTAGAAAGCTGGGTCACCCGAGGATGTAAAGAAGTCCTGCGTGTACTGGTTAATACTGTTGATCCTGGAGAGGGTATGTTGTTAGAGACAAGATCACTTACACCGCCCGGGTCGGCCCCCACTGTATAATGCCCTCCTGTGTGAACACCCCATTCCCCCTTGCTCAACAGCCCTTGCATGTCAGTCTCGAACCAGTATATATCTGCATTCGAAGGGTTCGTTATGAGGTCATAAGTATAGTTTGTTTTCGTAACCGCGGCGCTATGGACATTTACGTCGCGGCGTAGACATCGTGGATTGTAGCCGAACCCGTCGGCTTGTGCGTTCACTGGCGTGCCTGAGATTGTTCCAGCAACTGGGCCAAGGTGAACAGTCATACTAGAAGGCATGTTAGCTGGTTGATAACACGATAGGGCCGGAGGGTTATACTTCTTGAAAGGGCCTGTGGTTACACATCCGCCGCCGACACCAGGTGGTATGATGTTGAATGGAGCTGGCGCTCCTGGAAGAAGGACACCAGTGTGATTGTAGTACAGGCCATTGCCACTTATGCTAGTGGGACTTCCATCAAATAATGGGGAGCGTAGTGGGTCATCAGCATATTTCCCCCAATTCCAGTACTGATAGCGTCAGTGGTGAGGTGGTGAGGAAGTTTGACCAATTAGACAGATGAAGAATCAAAACGTTTGATCTACGAGAAGACTGCCGGCGAGGAAACTGGATAACTCATGTACTCACCGGTTGATACCCTTTATATCCACATTCTTTACGAAGTGCTTTTTCATACGTATGCACGTAGTATCTATGCCAGCCCAAGAAATTGCCCTATATCATCAGTTCAGATGACGACATCTTCAACCATGGCTTGTACATACCGTTCCATGAATGGATAAAGTCTGATTTATATGAGTAGCAACAAAATCATCAAAGCGACTTCGTGCACCAGAGACTACTTCGTGAGGCGTGATCGGTTGTTTTGATTGCAGACAAAGAACGGCATTTGTATACGCAATTCGATCTGCTCCCGAGAGGTCACTCCTGCGAAAGATTAGATCTTGAGCCTCTGAGATATCATTCTTGCCTTACCATTCGCGGCGCTTTATAGCGGTTTTAATCGTGCAAGTGTTATTTGGATCATGTGCAGCTTGAAATGCCGCAAGCTTCGCTAGGCCTTTTGCTGCTAGTTTGTCTACTGCATCGGGAGGGTACGACTGGTACGAAGCTGCTTCGATGGCAACAACATAAGATTGAAGAACGAGAAGAGTTGAGAAAACCCCAAGGAAGATGAAATTCATCCTGACAAAGTGAAAAACCAGCGGAATTGCTTACAAGAGTAAGCTTGCAAAAATACCTAAGTGCCATTGAGCACAACTAGGACTTTATATACTCTCTCGTTCCCTTTTCTCGTTTGACACACCTGGAAGAGCAGTGGCTTCGAAGCTCTCGGGTTGGTGGTCAATCTTTCGGCTCTTAAACTGCAGAATAGGAGGCTCTCCTCCAATGGCTAGACCCTCACTTCGATACTCTTGGTAAATCAAGCCAACACATCAGATGGATGGCTTGACTTGAGCAACCGCGTATATGCAGATACAAGCATTGAAGCCTGATAAGTGGCATCGATTAGATCCACTTGAGGCGCAAGACATTCAATAGAGGGTTTGCGCAAAATCTTTGAAAAGATCTTTAAAAATTATATAATAAATACTGGGCCTCTGATTCCTGAGTGGTCAATAGAGGGGAACATAGCTCTCTTTCATTTTGCTGATCTTCCTTCTTTTTAAATGTTCCGAGCCCGGTGAAGCTAAAATTGCAAGATTTTTGCATAGAGATGTTGAAATGTCTGGAAGTGATATATCAACTCCATATTATACCCACTCGAGTTGAATCCAATATGTATAGCTCATTATGCAGAGCCTCCAACCTACTCGTATATCGAAGCGATAATTTAAAGAGAATCTTAAAAGCCAAGCACTTGCCCGGCCCACTTTATAAAACATAAAAAGTCAACTCACATGTCAGCGGATGATATTCTACCTATATTATGATTGGTATCATTCCCTTATCATTAGAGCTTTATTGTGTAAAATAGGATACGAGAACAGCTCTTGTACAACTGAACCTCTATGTGCGGTTGGCATTCTTGGCAACTTTGGTAAGTACCTTTCGACAATAATTCCAAAATTAAAGGTATGGGGGACTGGATCAGTCTGGATGTACCAAGATCCAAGCATATCGCACAAGCGCTATGCATCTAATTATTAGTAAGTCATCAACCTACTTAGCGGCAGTCTTCCCATATAAGCACAGTCAGACTCTTAGTCGAGAGGGATAATACTCGGGCGAGTCTTTGAAAAGGAATATACAAAAATCAAAATAACTATCACTATTTTAATACTGTATAAAGCTTTATATAATTTCATAATTTCAAACACAATATAATCTTATATTAAAGAATTATTATTTAAAATATCAATTAAATCTAATAATATCTGAAATAGTTATAATTGATTTGATTTATAAAATAATAATATTTTGTAACCAAAAGGGTATAAACAGGACTCCGATTATATATTTAGAATCTACAAATAAAGAGTTATATAAGGTGCTAAAAGGAGGACTATATATACAGATATTTGGAAACTATAAGGGCTAGATCTAAAAGAGTGAAAGAGTCCTAGAGATAAGTATTATATAATATCTAGATTTAAAACTATAGAGCTAAAGCTTTAAGTTATAAAAGAAGATCCAAAAAAGCTATTATATTATGCTATATATATAGTATAAATTAATAAATAAATAAAAAACCATCTATTCCATTTATATTACCTCTTTTTTTTCGAAAAAATATAATTTTAT